CAGAGGACTTCCAGAAGCAGTGCCAACCAAGCAAGTGGAGATGAAGGTTCACCACAGCCAAAGGCAAATCTCTCTTGTCGGCTCCCTCCTCCTTCCTGCTCCTCACCTCTCCTCTTCCCTTCAATTATTATGTACGCTTCTCCTACATTCTTTAAACAACAACAACAACAGCCACCACAACGACAACCACAACGACGATGACAGCAATGACGATGATGACAATGTCGACGACAACAACCACAACCACAATCACCATCACTACAACAACAACAACAGCCACCACAACGACAACCACAACGACGATGACGGCAATGACGATGATGACAATGACGACGACAACAACCACAACCACAACTACCATCACTACCACAAGCACAACCGCCATCACTACCACAACCACAACAAGAACCACAACCACAACCACAACAAGAACCACAACCACAACCACAACCACCACCACAACAAGAACCACAACCACAACCACCACCACCACCACAACTACAACAACCGCAACCCACCATCACTACAACAACAACAACAACCACAACAACAACCACAGACACAACCACAAACACAAACACAAACACAACCACCACCACCACAACTACAACCACCACACCCACCACCAGCGCCACCACAACTACAACAACTACAACCACCATCACTACCACAACCACAAGAACAACCACCGCCACAAGAACAACAACAACCACAACCATGACCACCACCACCACAACAACAACAACCCCATCTATTCTGGGGGTCACCAGTCCGATTACTTATCACCGGCAAGCAGGGAAGATAAAAGCATAAACAATAGCACGATGATCAAGACCTCGTCGCCGCTTGTCCTGCATTCTACCAATGGCATGCATGTCTTGTAAGCGCGCAGAATCTCTGAGAGGTCCTTTGGAGTTTTTTTCTCCGCGGCTCACCAGATGTTTTTTGATTGCAGCTTGAACCTTCTTGCTCAGGCTTGATGTTCTTTACCCTTTACATTCATGACGACTTCTCTCGACATTCACACCATATTTCAGTCACTTGGCCGCAACTGCAGACAGCTCGAGTGTTTTTTTGTTTTTTCTTCCTTTTTCTTTTTTTAAGACAGCTCAAGTTCCCCACTGAGTCAACAAGAGTTGAGCGGCCGAGTGCCAGCTCAACTCGTGGAATGCGTTCAAAACCGGTTCACTGGAGTAAGATAGACGAAAGTGGAATTTCTAGCATAGAGATTAATATTCTTAGATAATTATGTATTTAGAGATGAAAATTCATGGATATTAGCAGGAACTCCGCCGAAAGCGAAAGGCAGCTTTCTTTCTGGGTCTCTACTGACACCGAGGTGCAAAAGCATGGGGAGCAAACAGGAAACAGGATTAGATGGATCCGAACTAGGATCTCTAACATAACCCGGCCAAAGGTGTCCCCTCTAATCATACGATTAGAATCTGCATCCAACAATCCATTAAAATTGGAACGAAACAGAGAAAATTAGCATCGCCCTTGCGCAAGGACGACACGCATAAATCGAGAAATGGTCCAAATTAATATATATATATATAGTCACAGAACTATTCACTAAGAGCGTAAGCACGTGAAGTAGAAGAAGAAATAAGATGAGCGAAGAAAAGAATAATGAAAGGACAGGCAGGTGCAAGGAAGATGAGCAATAGTGAACTTCAGCAATCAAACAGCATCATACATATGAGTCCAGATAGTCTTGACCTCGAACCAACAGCAGAATTGCATCACGAGATTCACCAAATAAGAACACACCAAGAGTCCATAATTGACAATGCTGAAATAGTCCCATCATCATCAACGAAGAACCAGAGTTGATATCCTATCTGGCGCTCGGCGCCCGGACTACATGTGGCAGATCCTATCTAGCCTATACTACGATGCCGAAAGATGACGTCAACAGCATTCCCGAAGTACGAGCATATGGTGACCAATGTCGCACGCTTCCAGCACCAGGTATGTCTCTCGCTGCACTCACAACCTCGTTCCCCAATGCACAGATGCCACTAGCACCCAAGGACCACCCTGCGCCTCACCCAGCTTACAGCAGCGCAGCTCGGCTATGGCTGAGTGCTCCTTCCCTGCTCGCCCGSAACGCACAGATGCCACTAGCACCCAAGGACCACCCTGCGCCTCACCCAGCTTACAGCAGCGCAGCTCGGCTATGGCTGCGTGCTCCTTCCCTGCTCGCCCGTGAGAGCGTAGGCGCCAGCCAGCAAATAGCGCAGCAGCGCTTGCGCAGCATGCAGCCAGCACCCGAATGCCCAATGCGGAGGCAGGCCCTTTGCTATATCGAAGTGGCCTGCCTGCGTCCAGTCCAGGAAGCTTCCAGTAGGCCCCGGTAGCCTGAGCCCCAGCACGAACGAGAGCAGGCCTTGGGCCTGAGGTGGTTGCATGTACCCAACTGCCTTGGCCTGTGTTTGGCCCAGTTCCCGTATGCCCAGGGCCTGCTTTCCATACATTCACACAGGCGGCCCAGGGCCTGGGTTCTCTCAACCAACTGGCGCTGCGCAACTGCCTGAATTTCCTTAGTTGCGCAGTGACCAAAATAGGGCCCTGGAGGCCTCGTCGAACCTGCCTTCACTTAGGGCGGCCGACGGCTGTAGAAGAGGGGCCGAAAGGGGCTCATAGAGGCAGTAGCCTCGCAGAGGCAAAGAGACAGACAAACCAGAATGACACAAAACAGTGTCCTCTTATTCTTTGTTTCACAGTATTATTATTTCTTTCAGTGTTTTAAAAAAAAATACACTGAATCAAAAGGATAAAAGACACATTGAAATCATTCAGTTTCTCAGTCTTCTTAACGCCTCCTCCACTGTGCCTCCAACGTACAAGGCTCGCCACGTTGATGAAGTTGAGCGCAAGCTGCCCCCATCCCCGTATGC